CTTTCAGAAGAGGAAGCAAGAATTGGCATATGCAGCATATGAGATGAAACAAGTAGGGGCTGCAACAGAAACTCCAAAAACAGAATTTAATTTCATCCACAGTGAAGTCATTCCAGATCGCAAGAGCAAATTCCAAGCTCACATTGCCCAGGTCACCTCACTGGAACAGGTTGAACAGGCTCTTGCACAACTAAAGACAGACAGTAAAATTGCCAAAGCAACATATAACATGGTTGCCTACAGGATTTATGTCAAAGAGAAAAAGAGTTATCTTGAAGAAGGTCGTGATGACGGTGAGAATGAAGCAGGCAGAAGGCTGTTGCACTTGTTACAAATATCTAAGGTAGAGGATGCAGTTGTCATAGTAACTCGCTGGCATGGTGGTGTGCACATTGGCCCAGACAGGTTCAAGCACATTAATGAATGTGCAAATGAAGTAATCAAGATTGCGACAGAGAAAGGAATGATTGCAACTACTGCTGTTGGGAGCTCTGAATTATCTGGGACCAAGAAGAAGAGCAAAGGAAAAGGAAAGAAATAAAAAAAAACACACCTCAAAAACAAAAAAACATTAACAGCAAGGGACATCAGGAGATGTCCACCATTGCATTTTACACTTAGTTATATTGCCATATACTGTATAATGAAATGCAGGTACAGATATATGATGTGATAATTATGATACAACCTTTATTTAGGTATAAGTTTTATTTAAACATTAAATATAAAAACTCAAGTAACCCCGTCAGGACATACCTCGCTATTAATTGAAGCCCTGATGTTTACATATTGGGTACTTTCCATTTTTCAGATGTCATATATCATTCCTCTATTAGTTAGGAAATTCAAATTTTCAAATTCTATCCATTATTCTATGGAAATTATAAACCTCGAAATGACTGAAAAATATTGACAAAAAAGACATATATACCWAGCGGACTGGCTGACCAGTTCTGACCTAAATTAAGACCTGTTGATGAAAGCTGTTTTCTGGTTGGTTTAAAATCAAACATGGTGATTATTTTGTAAAGTATTAGGATTCATTACTAAGGTATGGATTAAGGAATCATTTGTACCCTATTTGTGTATAAATATATAATTAATAAGTTCTTGCAAATTTTTAAATCAAATTATCTTGTCTTTGTCGTGATCATACATTTCTGGATCTGTCCCAAATCTAGTTTAAATTTAATTAAACATTAGGTTATAACAGTTTTAATAGAAACACTTAGGTTTAATTGATAACTATGTTACAGAGGCAACTAAAAATAMCTCTGAGATGGATTGGCATCTCAATCAAACCATCTCAAGGTTTTTGTGGTTATTTTTGTTTGCCTTTGCATATAAGACAGATTTGTACGAAAACTTAGACTTTTATAGAAGAAGTATATTAAATTCAATATGAATGAGAAGTGTTTTGTTCGTTAGTGTACTTACAATGTGAAAATCAAGAGTACCTCTGATCCGCCAAAGATAGATGTGAATGACCAACGATAGCACAGTCGTAATGGGCTTCCTGTTTAATTTCTACCGTGATAGCCTGGGTCGACCAATGACGAAAACAGTTATGCAAGAAAGAAAGAGTGCTTTGTTGATTGTTCAACACTTTCACTCGCGTTTGTTGACCAAAAATGACTTGATAATTCCAACCTAATCTTTCAAAGACAGCGAAGAGCTGGAATTTATACATAGATGTCAAAGGAGGAGAATTTTGAAGAAAATTGCACTCGTCAATCGGACGAGATCGAAGCTCTCTCAGCCATCTATGGCGAGGATTTTATCACAGTGGATGAGGACAGCAAAATTTTTGAAATACGCATAAAAATGAAAATYACTTCGGCTTCATTGCGTTTTGTGATACCCCCAGAGTACCCCAGTGAAAATCCACCRGAGTTTGAAGTCCAGTGTGGTGTGCTAAGAAGAGAAGATGAGATGGAAGTGATTCGAGAATTTGAGCAAATAGCCGATGAAAATGTTGGGGAGTGTTTTCTATTTCAGTGGGCTGAGAAACTACGAGAAATTGTGGAAACGAAAGCGAACAAAGTTCAAGAGCAAGAAGCAAGTAAGTTTTGTGTTCAAGGGAATCCCCTGTTGCTATTCCCTAGGGGGTGGGGGATGGTAATTTGTCAATCAATGAGCGACTAGCTAGTTCCACGGATATGTCATCACGCTGTCTCGCTGTTGACAAAGTTCTGTGATAGAAAAAAAAATGTCTGAAATTTATCAATTTTCCAGGAATTCATTGGTSAAATTGAATTTTAGGTGGCTAGTGGTTGCCATGAGACTTTCAATTAAATTACATGATTTTATARATTAATTATAAACGCAAGTTACTCAAATTAGAAAAAAATAAACAGTTGTAATATATGCACTTATTTTTCTTTTGTAAGACTATCTTGTCCCTAACCAGACAAATACCTCAAATGCTGATCAAGTGTTGGTAAAGGGTTTGRCTGATGCGATAAAAGAAACTAACCTTCAAGATGACGCACTCCTGTATCACAACATTGAACAGCCTGCCTTTGAAATTGCACATGGCGAACCATTTACAGATCGCAAGAGTACATTCCAGGCACACCTTGCAGCAGTGGAATCAAGGAACGACATTGATCAAGTGCTATTTCAACTGAAATTAAACCGCAAAATTGCGAACGCAACTCACAATATTATGGCTTATAGGATATTTAATGCCGAGCTCAATTCTTACATTCAAGATTGCRACGATGATGGAGAAAATGCRGCAGGTTCAAGGCTTCTTCACTTGCTACAAATAGCTAATGTTAAGAATGTGGTTATAATTGTAACTAGATGGTATGGTGGGTTATTACTGGGACCTGACCGGTTTAAACATATCAATAACTGCGCTAGAAACCTTTTAGAATCATGTGGGTTTGTTGAAGGAAGGAAATCAAATGAAAATAAGGAACCAAAAGGAAAAAGAACAGAAAAAATGAGAAAACATAAATAAAATATATGATTGAAACGATAACAAAATATGAGAYTAGGTTCAGAATAATATGGAGAATAACTGGATGATGCTGAACATGATATGGATGATATGAAATATGATATGGAAGAAAAGCATATAGTTGATGTTATCACCTTCCATATTTGCAATTATATTATTTTGATAGCCAAATCTACTGTTGTAGTAGGTAACTATTAAAATTTATACAACTTTTCAGTCAAATCAGACGTTTTGATTGGTTGGCTTTCGTGTGTTATCAAAGTATAGATACACGGATTACGTCAAAACTAATTGTTTGTTGTATAAAACAGATAGATCTCATTTTTCCGTGTGTGTTTACTCTAATAGATACACAGATGACGTCAAAATGTAGCGAGAACAACAGTCACACACTCGACTGTGTCTCGTGCATACTTTTTTGTTCTCACTACATTTTGACGTCATCTGTGTATCTATTAGAGTACACACGCACGGAAAAATGAGATCTATTTGTTAAATTTACCATTTAGGGAAYATTCATTAATTAATGTCATAGAATTATCTATAAAATACCTATAGTTCTCCATTACATAAAGTTGTTTTTACTTGCCGGGCACTTTGAGATACAAATTTTATCTTCTTGTGTTGAAAATCTCTCACTTCTTTGCTGCGCTCACTAAAGAGAGATCTTTTCAACACTYGAAGATAAAATCCATATCTTTGCRCKKCCATGYAATATCCTCTATATATTTTATGAATATTAAAAGCACTTATCTATGATCCATGGATGATATTTTTATTTGCTTGTGATAACTGACATGATGATAATATAAAGAAAATAATAGTTCTGGTTTACATGATATAAGGGAAAAAAAAATAAAAGCTGAAGAAAATTTTACAAACAGTCATTCTCTTTGAAAGGCAGTGTCTAATAGATAATTGCCTGTTTATATTATGTATTTTATCATAGATGAAAATAAAGCCCATGCATATAACTCCTAACCCATTACCTTAATTTGCTACAATTTGTACATTTGAATATTATAAATAATCAATTGAAAAAATAAACATTCTACCTAAATTATTTCATATTTAAATTACAGATTTATACAACTTATTGAGAAATAAAAATAAAAATGCCAAAAATATCAATTATCTTGACTAGTATTTGGATATGTTTGCAAAAGTCTAATCCATCAAACATGTAAAACAGTCTTAAGTATACCAACATGTAAAACATCAAACATGTAAAACAGTCTTAAGTATACCAGGAATGTGTATTTCAAGAGGAGCCGATGCATTCATGGGAGAAATATATCTGTTCTTATGTCCAAGCCAGCTGTAAGTCACAACTGGTTGCCAGCAAAGTTTATTCAAAAGAGCAGACCTGGTCGGCTCTTCCTGACATTTCACCGGTTTTCATGCRTTCTTCTTGGCCAGTGAGCGTGCAGTAATAATAATATAGTTAATAACCTCATCGTCACCAAAAGATATCAATGGCTTTATTCATCACRTCTAATATATTTGGCCATCAATAATAAATAATTATATCCATCATCTTCATATTTTATCTATAGTATGCTGGAATCACAATTGTTAACCTAATAGTATATATTATTCCCAATAATTTTCCCATCCCATTTCCCAGTTATTTCTATGTCCCGATTTGCTTGTCTTCATTATATATGACAAATTGTATTGCAAAATTAACAGCTTTGTTCGCCATAATTTGCATTCCTACTGATAATTATAAAAGTAACTCCGTTTAAAAACTAAAAAGATCTGGATTGCAAACAGGATTGATGCAGCCTAAATATGTCTAATTCATGGATAACATTATATTATTTTGTTATATAAGTGGTTACTACAAAAAAAATCGTTGCATCCTGACTTTAAATTTCAAAGAAATGGTTGGGATTTCGATTTTTCTTCAGTTTGGAGGAGAAGTTCACTACAAACCAAGACCAAGTTTACGAAAAGYTCCCTAAGATCGCTAGAAAGATCAAAAGTGGTGATGTTGCCAATGCCCAGTTCATAGGTTGAGCTATGGTCACGCCAAACCAAATAGTCAATTAGTGTAGACCCAAATTTATACATWTTTGTACAACGTTGATTCATATGTTAACATATTGGACCAAATGCAGTCAAAACATAAGAAAAAATCCAACAACATTGCCGAAAAAATATATTTGTGCATTAAGTTTGGCACAGCGATAGCTAGACGTTTGAATCAACATCAACCTTTGCCATGCAGCAAGACTATCACTTCTGTGTTACAGTCGCACCAAACTCTTTTTTTTTAAGCCCGTACCAATCTTATTTGATTCATACTTTGAGCTGTTCACATGATAAATTCAAACTACTTGGTTCGACAGGACACTAGCTCGACGTATGAACCAGGTGCAGCTCACCAGCCATGTTGAACCAACCAGCGCATCTTATTGTGACGGTCACTATAATAATATTCTTTAAATATTTTAAGAATGTGTTCACTTTTGTTGATGGTTTTCTAATCTGAGTCCTCATTAACGTCTGTGTATATGCTTCGTTGTAATTCAGGAACAAGTTCTGATAGAAACAGCTCCAAAAGAATATATATTAAAATCCTGTGAATGAAAGTTATGGTAAACGAATTTAGATAAAGAAAGAAATGCCGATCGAGTAAAGAATAAATTAAGGAGAACAATTATAGAGAATAAGAGTGGATAGATGGGACGAATAAAGGAAGAGAGAAAGAAACTAAAAGGGAAAATAATTAAAAATACACTATAATCAGCTGTGTAAAAAGATAAATTTAACACCGTAAAAAAGTAGTTGAAACAACTTACTCAAGTTTCAGATGTTAATCCTTCATCATGTCTTAAACATTAGTAAGTTACTAATGTTTAAGACATGATGAAGGATTAACATCTGAAACTTGAGTAAGTTGTTTCACCTACTTTTTTATGGTGTTAAATTTATCTTTGCAGCTCACACTAGTTTACTGCTAGTTTCCACCATTTGCACTATAATCAGTTTGTCTAGTACATACCTGTTGATTGCTGGGTTTTGTAGAGACTCTACTGCATTAGCTGCACATTCATGGTAGACCTTAGACCCAACAAGTAATTGAAAGATGTCTGGGAAGATAAAACATATAATTATACACCATTTTACAATTTATAGACAACAGATTTTAGTGATCAAAGAATTCAACAATAAAAAAGCAACCAAAAAAAGGTTAACCACAGACTGATCCCAAAAAAATTCATGACATGGTCCACCAGCATTCAATGAGGTCGTGTTTTAGATTCTTCATATAATGTAAAATAAGGTGACTTCGAATATCCATTTGCAATCTGTTTCCATCCATCGGTTTTAAGGTCAAATCTTACAGTATCTACATTCAAATAGTATAAACTAAGGGATAATAAACTGAGTAAGTTTTTGCTTATTAGGATGTATTTTTATTTTCAAACACGTGAGCAAAAGCCTGAGAGAGATGCCAGTGGACCCTCAATACATGTTGGTAATCGATCATCAGTATTCACTGAAT